ATGTGTGTGTAATTGATGCCTTGTGTTCTATCTGTTCCCTTTGTCCATTTAACTTCTCAGATGTGAGCGTCTAAAGAGAAGCCCATCCTTTAGAACTGTGCGTGCTGAACTGGGCGGTGGTGATGAACACCTTTCGTCCAGCATTTGAAAGGTAGAGGAAGGGGAATCTGTGAGTTCGAGGCCAGCCTGGTCTACAGAGTAAGTTCCAGGACAGTCAGGGCTACACAGAGAAACCCTGTCTCTAAAACAAAAAATAAAATAAAATAAAAAAAATAAAGAAAGAAAAAAATTGAACCAATAGTTAATAATCTTCCAAAAATAAAGTACCATACCTAGCTGGGTCCACTGGTGAATTCTACCTACTACAAGGAATACATTATGCCAATTCTATACAATCTTTTCGAAAAAAGAGAAGCATGGAATATTTCCTAACTCTTTTTGTGAGGCCAGTGACCCACAATACCCAAACTACAAAAATATAGGAAAACTATGAACTACTATTGCTATTCATAAATAGATGGAAAAAGATGCAACAAAATATGAATAGACCAAATCTAACAATGTACAGTAAAAAATTGTGTTGACCAAATGGAACTTATTCTACAGGTAATGCTGAATTTTCAACATCTAAAAATCAACAAATGCAACCCACCTTTATCAAAAAGCTAAAAAAATATGCTATCAATATATCCATTCTTAATAAAAACTGTTCATAAAATAGGACTAGAGGGGAGCTTCCTCTCTACCTGATAATGAAGATCAATACAAACAGCTAAGCATCCTACTTGTGAATCTGAGCCTTTCTTTATTCACAAATGACATGCTCATTTATGTAGAAAATATGAAGGAATTAACAACAATAAAGTCAATCTTATAGAACTAATAAGCGATGTAGTTAAGGCTGCAGACACAAAGTTAATTCGCACAAGGCTGTTGCATTCCTATATATCAGCAATGAAAAAGTTGAAAACTAAAAAAACAAAAACAAAAAAAGTTAAAAACTCAAAACACACCATTTGTACCAGCATCACCCAGTGTGAAACATTTAGGAACAAATCAAATAAAGTATGTTCAAGATCTTTATGAAGCAAACTATAAAACCCCAATAAACAAAATTAATGAATTACATTAATGGAGAAATATTCCATGTTTATGAGCAGGAAGATTCATTATTCTTAAGATGTCATTTCTTCCTGCTTGGTGTAAGCATTCACTATCACTTCAATAAAAAGTCCATCACGTTTTGCTAATTTCAACAAATTCTCTTTGGAGAATCAAACGGTGTGCAAGAGCCAACACAATACTGAAGGACAGAGTGCGGGACTAAAGCTCCTGACTTACAGCACCTTAAAGCTCAGGGTGTAATGTTGATGAAAGAAAAAACAGATTAATGGAACTAACCAGAAAATATTTGACTGATCTTTCATAAAGACAATTAAATGGACAAACAACAGTATTATCAACAAATGTTGCAGTATTTGGACATTCACACAGAAGAAGGAGGAGGAGGAGAGACAGAAGCACAAGGACACCGACTTGACATTCTTTTACAAAAAGAAACTCAAAATGGACCACAGACTGAAGTGAATGGTGTGTATAAAACTCCTAGAAGACAGGACAGGAGAATAGCTAGGTGACTTTTAGATACAACACCAAAGTAAAGATCATTAAATGTCTTAAGCTGGATTTGCTAAATTAAACATTCTAGAGCCTGGCATGATAGTTTATTCCAGTCCGCAGAAGGCCAAGGCAGGAGGATCCTGAGTTAACACCATGAACAACTTAGTAAGTGAGACCCTGTATCCAAGTAATTTAAAAAATAACGCCAAAAACCTTAACAGACAACTCACCAAACACCACAGACTGAGTACAAGAACAGCTACTTTACAAGTTATACAAACTACAGCAGCCATGAGATGACACCACAGTACCAACGGTGAGAAAATGTGGACCAACAGGAACCTATTCATTGCTGGTGGGAGAATGCAAAATCATAGACTCTTTGTTCTACAAAAATAAATATAATCTCACCACACTAGCCTAAAGGTCTTTAGAAGCTTTAACTGATGAGTGGAGAAACTGCACAGGACAGATCTTCTCTATAGGTTGCTACTGTTTCTTTTTCCTTTCCTGGAAATAATAAATTCCTGGGGTAAAAATTATTTTAACAATGCTTTACATGTTATATGAAATGGTTACATGAAAATAGTGAAATTCTAGAGTCATACTACTGGTAAATAAAGATACGCCATGAATGTGATGCCAAAAAAGCTTCCTTAAAATTTCTTTTTCATAAGTGTTTTACAAAATATTATTCTTTGGAGGAGTAGTGGATGGGAGAAGGGAAGGGACAGGAGGCAAGGCTGGAGGGGAAACTGGGCGGTATGTAAAATAAATGAAAAAAAAAGTTATAAAAAGAAAGTAAAGCCAGGTAGTGGTGGTGCACACCTTTAATCCCAGCACTGGGGAGGCAGGGGCAGGAGGACCTATGAGTTTGAGGCCAGCCTGGTTGGTCTATAAGAGCTAGTTCCAGGGCAGCTGGGCTGTTATGCAGAGAAACACTGCCTCGAAAAAACATAAGTAAATAAAAAGTAAAAAAAAAAAAACTTCTTGAACTACAATTAACAAATGAATAAATAAATGTAAAAGTGTTTTGATTATAGAAAAAAGAGAAAACATCATTTAAGTATGAAATTTAAGCCCCTCTTCCACTCCCTACAGTGAACACTTGGGTCTTTTCCTTTGGCAGTGCTGTCTTACATATGCTAGGCAAGTGTTCTACCACTAGGCAATATCACAAGCTCACAAGTGAACCTGTGAGTACTAAAAAGGTAACTGGTAATCAGCAGACTTTTGATATTAAAATTTCAAATTTTCAAAACTAAATTAAACCCAGTCTTTTCCCAAGGAAATTCCAAGTGTCAGATTGAATTGCTCAACCCATTTAAAGTATCTGGTATTCCCAAACTCTAGAAATGCTATTTGCCTATTGATACCAGTTGTGTGCCAGGTGAGCCCTATGAATGAAAGGATGGTACAGATGTTCTTCAATTACAACAGCATTTTGTCACATTAAGGCAACCATCACTTGACAATATCGTATGTAAATATTCATAAGCCTCGTCTGGGGTGCATCACAGCTTATCCACACATGCTCACTGCACACAGCGGCTCTCTGCAAGCTCACAGAAACAGTGGCTTCCTGCGGCTGCCCCCATCACAGGCACATCCTACTGTTCATCACTGACCCGGGAAGAGACAGACATCCAAACATGGTCTCTGCTGAATGTATCACTTAGCACCCTCATAATGTGGAAAAGCCGTAAGACAAACCAGTGTTGTCAGGAAGCCTCGGACATACATAGAGCCACCCACTGACCAGTGTTCCTTCTTCCTCTCAGCTACACTCCTTTCTTTCACCTTTCCTTCTACATATTCCTCTGCAGCTCATAATTTCTGCCATAAACGCCAGGTCTTCCTCTATGCTACTCTCACTGGCTTCCTTAGAACTAGGATTATTAACCTGGTCTTTCTGACTATGTATCCAGAGGAGCAATAGCTTTGTGCAATCAGTTACTTCCTGTTCACAAAGTCCAGTTACATGTGTTTGTTCCCAGATTTACTGTATTTTGTTAGACCATGTTCAGTGGCTATCCCCAGGAGGTCTTTTTTTTTTTTATGGGAAACAGAGGAGTTGACCTGGGAGAGAGGGAAGGGGGGAGGACTGGAAGGAGTGGAAGGAGGGGAAAGTGTGGTCAGGATGTATGAGACAAGAATGAGAGTTCAAACAGTAATAACAACACAGCCAATCTCAAAAAAAAAAAAATCCCCCAGTCACCATTGTCCTAATAATGTTACACATCAACTAACAGTTTACTTGGTGATGGAAATACTACTTAGTACTAAAAATACAAAAATAGAATTAAAGCAATACTAACAAAATATTTCATTATAAAAAAATCCTGTAATATGCTTTATTTGAAAGTTCCCATGTAATAATGTATTTACCTGGTAAAAACTTCAAAGTTTGCAGCATCTGTCTTTCCTGAGAGAAATCCACCATTAAATGTGTCATGTTGTCACTGACTTTTGGTTTCAAAGAAAGGCGAAAGGCTGAAGCCATTGTGACTCTATGGTAAACACAGACAAACTTTTTTAAATAAATGAATGCAAAGTAACAAATTTTACATAATTTATAAAATCACGATGAAAATTACTTCACTTAGTGACTGTAGAAACTGTAACAAAGGCACTCAAATAGAAATTTACTTTGTCTTGAAAACTGAAACAAAAACTGAAATTACGGCCAGTTTTATAAAATGTCACAGACATACGGGTATCACAATAAACAACATCTAATATAAACACTGTTCACAGATCCCGTCCATCAGGACCTCTGTACACAGTCTCACTGGCTTCCTAATGCTAGCCTCACTCATCTTCACCAGACGACCTCCCAGCTACTGCTACACCACGTGCCCTCCACACGGCAGAGGCACAAGGACCTAACGTTACACTGCAGTACCTGCTAATCACAGACCGTGGGCGGCAAAGGAGAGAACCGAGATCATTAGGGATGAGCTCCATTCTACCAAGATACCATCCTCTCTGCAGCATCAACTACGGAGAGACACCATGAGAGGCAGGCCAGGGGATCTATATGTCATCGAATAATATGTGTTCAATAAACACTCAGATAACTGTGCAGTAAAATACAAAATGAGAATCAAGGCAAATCAGATTTTACTGTATCAAAGTATGGAAGAAAGAAAGTTCTTAGTTAAAACTGAAAACTGAAAGAAACTCATAGGCTGATGTGAAAAGTGAAAGCCACTTAATTGTGTCCATTTGCACCTGCTTCTCCTCAGGTGAATTCTTTTTCCACATACAAAAAAGAAAAGAAACTATTATTCAATTAACTTGTGACTTAATCATAAATTGCATTTTTTCATGTCACTGTAAATTTTTTTTACAAATATTACAGTCATTCCTGCACTATCCTTGAAGGAAAAAAAGAAAGATACAGAAGCACTGTTCACCAATGCTCTCTTCCTCGTATACAGCTCGAGAGAGGTTACACAGAGTGCTACAGGACCAAGAGAAGCAGAGGGCCACCAACTCCATCTGCCACCAAGAGATCAAGGGATGAAACATGGCAAATTTGCTGATGGCAAGCTGTTGCTAAATTCAACTATTTTACTTCATTTAAAAACAAAGTAATCACTGTGATATAACAATGAAAAGGCAGCAGTTGATTAGTTTACCAATAAAAGTACAACACTGCAATCAGTTCATGGGGAAGGCAACGCACACCGCCTGACTGCATCAGAACCACATGCACAGCACTAAGCTGCTGCTCCCCAAAGAACGACTTCCATTTCACTGGTGAGTCACGAAGGCTCAGCTTTGCACGAGCTGGTCAGTACAGCCCTGAGCATCATTTACAAGTCCTAGAGCATGGCGCCGAGATGAGACAGTTCACAGAGCTCAAACAGTAAATGGGTTTCTTCTAAACCCAATGAACAACTGCTTAACGAGAAATGCTGAAATCTATAATATCTACAAAAACTTGACATAATCAACGATGAACACAAAGAAAAGAGAATGCCCCCAAAATGCAGTAGAAATTTCACCGAAATAGAAAAAAAATAATAAAAAATTATAGTAAAAAAAACATAAAAACTTATATGAACTGTCAGACAGTGGTGGCATACACCTTTAATCCCACCACTCAAGAGGTAGAGGCAGGTGTATGTCTTTGAGTTCAGGCCAGCCTGGTCTAAAGAGCAAGTTCTAGGGCAGCCATGGCTACACAGAGAAACTCAATTCTCAAAAAAAACAAAACAAAATAAAACACCTTATGTGAATCAATTCAGAGGTAAAATATTAAAAAAGCAAACAAACTGTATTTATTTTAAACTGAATATATTTAAAGTCAAAAATAAAAATCTAAAATTGATAAGACATTCTCAAATCATGCTGCTTGATATGTTTTAATTCATTGACTTTCTTAGATTATTTAGAAGCTGAATTAAAACTCCTCCCAGTGTTATTAATTTCACAAGAAAATAATTACAAAAGAGATGAACACATTTAATCAAGTTTTCTAAAAAATAGGTCAAGACCTAGGAATGTTCTTCAAACAAGGTGCAAATCTCTGTGAGTATCCAGAGAAAAGAGTAGAAGCTTTAGACAAAACAGAACTAAGGACTCAGATTCCTGTAATGCCTGAATACTGATGCGATCTCATCGAGGGGCTGACCGAGAAAGAGGCGAAGATGGGACGGTTCAAAGAAGAGAGAAGACATAAAAGCTAGCACCGACATTAAATTCAGACAAACAAACCTGAACAGAGGTCATCAGGAGTAAAGATGGGGGCTGAGAAGCACAGAAACAGAACCCTGAAAGGAATGAGAGATTTGACAAAGTTTCTCAAGATCCTTTGGACAGTCCAAAACCTGGTTAGGAATTGATGTTTAAACCAGAAAAATCAGGAACCACAGTAGGGTATAACAGAATAATAGCTGGTACGGAATAATAATCAAGCCTGGGTGTGAGACACTTATTCCTAGCTAATCTCAGCAGACAAATCTACCTTATCAAGGACTTCGCTCTCTCTCGCCCATTCCTCATTTAGTACTTCTCACTGAACACAGAGTGTGAAACTACATCCTAGCTACTTGAGGCCTGAGGCAGGAGGCATACTTGAACCGAGTTCAGGAGCAGCCTAGCAAACAGTGAATCATCTCTCAGGATGATGGCAAAGCCCTAGTGATCTTCCTATAGCCAGCACTTAATGAACCACATCATTAATCACCTCATAATATATAATATACAGAAGTGGACATTAGTATTTGTGCTAAGAATGCTTTGTCACTATGTAAATCTTGTCCCCTCTCCCCCATTGTCAAATAACCACAAAAGAAACACTGTAGAAAATTTCTCCAAATGAACAAGGAACACCGGTTCTCCCACAACCCATACTGAGTGTTTCTGTGAATTATCTGATGAAGAAGAAACTGATCTAGACTTGAAGAGACTGAAGAGTTGTGCTTGTCAAAGACTCTCACGATCAAGAGATAAAACCCTTAAGTTACAAACTACAAACAATGCTCGGGGACTTGTCAGGAAGACCAGTGACACCCCAAATGTTACCTCAGCTCCTTCAACACTCACACATTGTTCTACAAGTGCTAAATGTCCTTTTATAGTCCAAACTCTACAATGAGACACACCTTCTAAGCCAAGGTACTTAATAGTTTTCCTGAGTTTTTCCCTACAGTATAAAAGCAAGATAGTGGTGGCATTAGAAGAAGGAGGTGGCTCCAGAACAGGACAGAGAAACACAAAGGTGTTAACCAGGACAGCAGTGAAGAGCCTTAGCTCCTACAGACACTTGGCAGCACTGGGCTTCTCTGAAAACAAGATACACCTATATTTAAGAACAGCAGCAAAAAAAAAAAAAAAAACTACATCCAAGCAAGATGTACTTTAAGTTATTCAAAATAGATTAATCTTCAATACTAAACTAATTAAAAACTATTCTAAAACTAAAGCTAACTATAGTATTACACCAGAAATGAAATTCTCTTAGAGATATGTAATTTTCACAACTTAAAATGTGACCTTAAAGAGTTTACTGGCTATTCTCTGATATACAGAGCACATTTTCTTTACTTTGAACTTAACAATTACATATTGTTATTTTCATCAACAGAATTATAAGAAAAATGGTTTCTGAATTTCATTTCTGACTTCAATATTGACACTTAAATAAAAAATGTAGGTTTTATACCATACCTATCCTTGATCTGTCTGGCAGCCTTGGAGCCAATCAGGGAGAAGAGAAAGAAGGTAGTTAGTGCTTTTCATGCAAGTTCAATGGCAAAGACATGCAAGAAAAGTTAGCATATAAACCCTGCAACGGATTAGTCCATAATTCATCAAAACATAAATGACAGGAAATCTATATAGTCCATGTAAGCTTGATAAAGTGACGTTAGGACCACAGTAGAATCAAGACCCCCCACATCAATCACCATAAAAGCAGAAAAAATTAACATTTCAACTAATTTCATGGACTATAATTATTTTAGCAGATTATCAAATACACCTTCACTTTTATTCAGTCTTATATTCTTCAACCACAATTTCTTTCATAGACATACATTTCTACGGATCCCGACAGTTTTTATGTTTATGAAAGTGTCCCTGCTAGCATACAAAACTAAACCATAATTCTAGCCTTCGCTCCAAGAATGAGGTTCAGACAAGGGGAGATGAGAAACATCTCAAATGGGTCTCTCCTTCAGGAAAGGTCACCCAAGCTAGCTACTTACACCTAGTGCATATATCTTCTGCATTTGTTTTTGGAAAACAGAAATACAAGTTTAGTTACCTGGTATTCCACAATCAGAAAACAACAATGAAATCATAAGAAGTCCTTGACTACTTATATATGAATAAAATACAATGTATCCAACGAAAGGTTTTCTTCCATGCTAACAAGCATAGTTAACAATTACAGCTGACAAAGATGGCAGTTTTGCTAGCATATAGACTGGTATACAGTAATACTTAGTAACTGAGTGCAATCCAGTGGAAATTAGCCATATAAAGTGCTGCTTCTGTTTCTTCTTTCTTTCACACCTAACATTGTTTCTACTTGCTACAGGAAATTTTTATACCCAGTCTGAGTACCATCGAAGCCTGAGGTTTGATATAGATCACAACAGGCTACAGCTACAGCTCCAGCATTATCAGTAATCAACTCTGTGCCCTGGTCTATTTTGTTTCTCTACTAAGGAATTTGAGTTCTTAATGTTTTGAAAAACAAGGTCTACATAGATCAGTCAATCCAATACTGTGGCTCTCCAGTCTCCTTAGGTTATGAGCCTAGTTTACAGTTCCTTTCGTAAGGAGAGCATTAGTCAACTATTACATTGGTTTGGAAAAGTACTGTCATGGCAGTTGGAATTAAAAATGAATTTCATAAGGTGTTACAGAAAGAACAGGGCCCCTCCTCTGCATGTGACACTTCTTTACATACGGAGGAAGTGCCACTGTCATTACCCTTCACTCCACACTGACACCAGATGAAGAGTCAAAAGGTGCTCACTTGTACTGCTTACTTTTTGTGGAAGTTTGCTTGTCCACAGAGAGTATATGTTGTGTTCTTCCTGTTCTGTCAGTGTTACCGAGATCGCTCATCCCACCCACAGTGATCTGAGGAAGCCTCTGCTGAGCAGATCTGGATAGGTAAGTTAATTCTGGACGTAGGAAGTTAGCTGACTTATATGACAATACTCTCCAGTACTACAGCAGCACTTGATCTCTTTCTTGCTTTTCCTGTTTTATTTCCTGATGGTTTTGAACTTGGTTAGAAGAATATTGTTTCCCATTCATAATTACCAACTAAGTATAAAAAAAACAAAAATGAATATTTGCTTAACTTTGTTCTTTATCTACAATGAAAAGATACAGTAACTAATATGTTCTGTGAGTTTTTTCAAGAACTTTGAATACTTGTTTCTACACTGTAAAAACCTGGGGGCCGTGAACATTGTTCAGTTGGTAAAGTGCGTGCCTAGCATGCGTGGTGCCCTAAGTCTGATCTCCAGCAACTAATGAGCATGGTGGTGTAAACACGGGGATCCCAGCATTCAGGGTGGAGCCAGGAGGATCAGGAGTTCAAAGTCATCTTCAGCTATATAGTAAGCTCAAGGTAGGCTTGGAATACACATAAACTCTGTCTCAAAACAAGTAGACAAGTAAATAACAGCACGACTAGGCTGTCTCCCTGAGAATTTACAGAACAGTTCTTTTGCTGTCTGGGATCAATGTCAGCAGTGTGGGTATTCAGAAACATCACAGTAATGGTGGATGACTTCCTGACTGGTCTGTGGTTATCTCTAAGATGACATTTATACATGCTTCATTTTCAGAACTGTAAGTAACCAGGGATATTACTTCCCCAAATAATCTTGCTTCCTATGGCATAAGACCCACATTAAATCCACTTTAACAGCAGTGCCTTTACTAGCAACACCAGAGTTGTCTGTAGTGAGGAGGAGTGACACTTTTCCTAGGAAACACTGGAGAGAAAGCAAAGGGTGGTTCTCTGCTCCAGCACTGACGTGACCTTCACACACGCCCAGCCTCTTCAGCTTGCTCCTTTTCTCTTGCCAGTTCAAATAACCTTTAATCCTTCAGCTTCTCCCTGGGCACAGACTGTGGGCACATGGACGTCCTGTCTCACCTTCTCTCTTCATTTCTCTCCTCCTGATGAAAGGACATCTGCTCCCACGGTCCCCTCTGTCCAGCGGAGGGCACGGCTCACTGCAGAGGCTGTCCATACTCTTCCTCGCTGCTCCTCTTTCCACAGATCTGGGAAGTCTTTCTCATTTGTACTTTCCACCATGTTGCTTGGCCTTCAGATCAATCTTTATTTTTTTCTTCTTCAAATGTTCATGATCTGGGAGCTTGTTTTTCTTATGTAAATCCAAAAGGTAAGCCATACCTTTTGCGGTGTAATTAGAAACATTCATTTGTGGTGTGTGACATCATAGGCTACAGAATCAAACTCTAGGATGTGAAAAAGCTCCTAATGTTTGAATCTCAGGGACCTACTATCTCTGTCAAAGACAAGAAATGTGTCTTTCTTCCTAATATCATTTTTTTTCTTTTTATACAAAGGAAAATAGAAAAAAAAGAGATATTGCAAAATGTTCTTTTTCCATTAGGGAAAAATACTAGCCTTGCCATGAATCTCTGTGAGCTTTATTAGGCCATCCCAGTCTACATATCAAATCTCAGGCCAGCCAGGTCTACATAGGGAAACCTTGTCTTTCCTTTGTTTCTTTTGTAAAAAGTCCTCTGGAAAAGAACTAGTTGCGCACCACTGACTTTATACATTAAAGGAAATGTATACATGTGTATATTTAACTTGTGATATATATATGTGTGTGTAAATATATTTAACTTCATAAATGCACTATTTTTCAAAACATATGATCAGGGCTGGAAGAGATGGCTCAGTGGTAAAAAGCACTTGCTGCTTTTGCAGAGGACATAGGTTTGGACCCCAGCACCTACAGGGTATTTTACAGCCCCTATAACTCCAGTCCAGAGATCTGATGCCCTCTTCTAGCCTCTGAGGGTATAATACATATACATGGCACACATATATACATGCAAGCAAAACACTGAAACACTACAAACAAACAAGTGCACACACACTCACTTAAAAGTAAGCAGCCTGAAACTAAGTCAACACAGTCCTCCTCACACCTTTATGACAGCACACCTGTACAGCAGAGCACACTTCTCTAAGACACCGACACTCACAAATTATCAACGGTACAGTTCTACTTTATAATGTGTTTAGTAAACATTTGATTTATTTGTAGCTGTCTTCAAAGATAAAGCATGCTTTGTTAAAGGTCCTCCTTTGTCCTCAGCATTGCTGACCAGCCTAAATTGAGGACCTCCCACCCTCTGCCTGCAGAGTACTGACCCAGCTGTCTGTCTGCTCTTCTCAAGGCTCAAGAGACAGACACACCCTGAGCGCTATTCCAGAGGTGAGCTATCCTGAGTGAGAGAAAAGAAATAAGCCCCATTTTCTCTCTTCGTCTGTGATCAAATGCAGAAGACAGTGCTCCCCTTTTCAGTACCTGGCTGCTGTTACTCCACTGTAGGTGCTCCACGGGGAGGAAACCATTCTCCCCTCTTAATCTGACAGGTGGCTGGAAGGAGGTGGGTAACTGTATACAGACTTGGAAACTGTTTGACTCACTTCTTTTCTTTGGAACAGTTCAAGGTTTGAATTCAGGGTGAGAATAGGAATGTTAATTTTTTGGAAAAGAATTCAAGCATTATTCTGCAAGCCAAGTACCAGTGACAGGAGAAACCAGAGTTGGTGGAGTCCTGGCTATTTACCTAATAATCTGGATCTCATTGGAACCTTCTGCATGTATTAACTATGAACTATACTCCTAATTTATTTAAAAAAATAAGGTGAAGTACATTCTAAAATTCTATCACATCTGTGCCACTTCCAGACATATGATGCTGATAAATGGAGGCCCTTCAAATCCAGATCTCATGCTAGGACCAGGAACACAGAAATGTAAATAATAGAACTTGAATATGGAGAAGATAAAAAGCAGTATTTGTGGGTTGTGGTCAAGGCTATTTTATTATTGCCGTTTCCTATTATGTTAGCCCAACTTAAAGACTTTAATGAGAGATTTGGACATAGTGTGAGTCGAAGAGCTGCTTTCCCAGCTTCACCACAGCTGCCGCTCAGCCACTGCCCGCACTTCAGAGTTCACCCACATCATCTTCAGTAACTAAGCATCTGAAGGAGGCCTGGGGAAAAACAGGACTCGACTCAAGTACTGAAGGACCTTTAAAAAAAATGCCAATAGGGATATGACTGAAAAAAGAAAACATTTAAATTTAACGTTGAAAAAGGTAACTAAAATAATCAATTCCTGATCCCAAAGATACATATTCTAAAAAAATTACATGCTTTGAAATAAGTGAACATCTTGTATTTTACTTAGGAAAAACCCCATGACCTTTTTTTTTTTTTTTTCAGTATCAGACATGACAAAACACTTCTTTAGACACTCCTTTGGTATACTAGGATAGGGATTTTTGTCTGTTATTTTTGTTTTGTTTTATTTACCTTTGAGAATTCTTCAGGCTCCTTTATATCCAGTGACCTGGTTGCAAATTCCAGCAGCTCTTCGGAGTTTTCCAGGGCATTGTTACATTGACTGAGCTGACTCTGGGGGATCACAAGGCCCAAATCATGAAGATGAACTTTCCTACTGCCAACTCAAATACATGCTATAATAAACTTAAAGAGATTCTAATGACAGTAATTGAATAAATATACGTATGTCACAGAGTGACTAAAGAAAGATTATAACCGTCAGTTATATACATGACAAATCTACCTCTTTTCCTATAATGTATCCAAACAGCCTACCTAGAAACTGGCAAGATGACTCGGTGAATAGAAGCATTTGCAGTCCAAGACTGATGATACAAGTTGGTCCGACAGTGGAAGGTAAAAATTGACTTGAAAAAGTTGTCATTTGACCAACACTCACACACCACCCTTCTCTCAGAGACAAATATTTTTAAAAGCTTAATTACAAGCAGATAAAAATATTGAGTACATAATTTACAAAGATGGATAAATAAAGCAATTATAAATACCTGGGATTGAAATAAATTGAATGTTTCTTAGAGTAGTTGGAAAACTGTCTATAATATAAACTAGAATACCAGAATAATCTACCTGCAGAAAGCAACCTATGTAGTGAAGATTCAATTTCTTGGTAATGTTTAACTATTTAAATTAGCACAGTTCAAGTCCACTTATGCATGACTCAAGTATTAAAAACCCTTTTAAATTGTAATTTATAATTATAGAACAATGAAAAGAACCTAGAGTTAAAAGGCAAAAATACAGAATATGAGAAAATATTTCCAAATCAAACCCACCATGGGTTAACATCCAGAGAGCTCCAGGGCTTGTATGCAGCTAAGCAGAGCATGTGCCTGCACATACACAGCCCTGGCTGGGTTCAAAACCCCAGGAAAGTCATGCCAAAAATAAAATTAAAGTAAAAATACCGAAAGAACGCATAAAGAAATCTTGTAACTTTACAACAATAAATTACTTAGTAAACAGGAAAAATCAATAAAAATTTCTTTGAGAAAAATATATAGACATTAACAAGCATACAAAAACTGTTCTCTCTCTCTAATCACTAGGGAAATGGAAATCAAAACAATAAGAAAAATACTGTTTCATAGCCAGGTATAGCAGTGTATGTTTGCCTTTAATACCAGTAGGCAAAGGTAGATGGATCTCTGTGAGTTTGAGGCCAGACTGGTCTACAAGTGAGTCCCAGGACAGCCAGAGCTACACAGTTAGACTCTGTCTCAAAACAGCATGCAAGCAAACAAATAAAAAATTGATTCATCCCTTTTAAGATGTATGCCAACAAAACAAAACAAACAAACAGGAAACAGCTTTTAATAAAAATGGAGCGAGAGGCACCACTGCACAGCTGGTGGGAATATCAATAGCGCAGGCAGCGAGAACAGAGTGCATGGCACCTCACAAAACTAGAGGGCAGGGCGGCTGCCACATCATCAGCACACTGACTTCTGGGTACATGACCAAAGAATGAAAAGAGTGTCTTCAAGATGCCTCTGCCTGTCCACACTCACTGCAGTCCTGTCTACAAGCCAAAGGCATGAACAGCTCAGGGTCACAGAACAGGTGACGCAGTATATAAAGAAATGTTCTTCAGCCATAAGAAAATCTTGGCCTAGGGTAGGTTATGGACACACCTTGGGAACATTATGCTAAAGCTGCATGGCCACAAAAGGACAGTTCCATTTTCATGAGACCTCTAAGTAATCAAAATAATGGAACAAGAGGCACAAATGCCAGGAGCTGACGGAGCAGAAGTGAGGGATTGTTATTTCAGGGGTATGAATGTCCGCTTTGTAGTAATACAGAAAAGATCCTGAGTTCGGTTAAACAATACTATGAATCAAAAAGCTATACCTTAAATCGACTGCCAGTAAATTCTGTTAATTTTAACCACAGTTTCAAAAAATATTAAAGATATTTATGATCCACACCAACCTAAAATCCACTCTGGCAAGACACAGATATGGTTAGGCTCAGACTCTTATTTTTGCCTAAAGAACCCCGGCACTAAGGAGAATACCACGTCTAAGCAGCCGCACACCCTCACCTGTAACTCCTGAGATTTACGAGCTTGCTCCTGCTTGATGCTGCTGCCCATACTTTCCTTCACATCATCTAATACAGAGTACAAACTGTCAAACTCTTCATCTAATTCTGAAAGCACATTAGAAGAATTTTCCTGTTTTCAAAAGACAAAACAAAGATTTTACTAAAGAGCTATACAACATTTAAAACCTAAAAGGCATAAGCAAAGGGCAGAATAAATTCCTACCATAAACTTCCTTACTCTACAGCAGTGGTTCTCAACCATCCTAATGCTGTAACTTTTTAATACAGTTTCTCATGTTGCGGTGACTCCCCCACACCATGCAATTATTTCATTGCTACTTCGTAACTTTAATTTTGCTGCCGTTATGAATCATAATATAAATATCTGATACACAGGCTATCTGATCTGTGACCCTTGTGAGAGGGTCATTCAACCCCCATAAGGGTGATGACCCACAGTTTGAGAACTACTGGTCTAATAGAAAAATAATAAACTTTAATATGTGACTTCAGGACGTAATAACTGATTATTTGCCCCAACCTGAAACATTACCTTAAGTATTCCTGTTCCCTACCAGAGGGTCTATGTCCTGCTTTTGCCTACTTCTTCAACCGAGTCCTGTCATGGGCACCGCTCGTCATGGATGTGAAAGAAATGCTTTGAAGAGGCACCACTGCTCTTAATTGGAATTAGTAAAGAAAACTTCAAACAGCAAACAAGAAGGCTGTGCTACCCACTTGCAATCACGATGTCAGCTGTCCTTGCCCCTCGGCACCTGCTTTCCCGGCACAGAATGCAGGGATGTCACAGGAAGTGATTTTACTCTTCCGTCCTTTGAAGACCCAATTCCCTGCTGCTTTATGTTATGCTCCTAAGTCAATGCAGGCTGTTTACACTTCAGATTTTACTAGCAATCACCCATCTATACAATTTTTGATAGAAATATTCATACCTGAACTCCTTTCAGTGTGTGATTTAGTGTATCAATAAAGTTCTGAATCTCATCGTTCTTACTTGCCAGAGTTGAGATGATTCTTTGTAGAGCTTCCTAGGATTGAAAACAAAACATTATCTTCTAGAAAAACTTGAATCTCCTAAGAACCATCCCCTGAGGACATCTACGTAAGAGTGCATCACATGGTAAGTGGGAGCAACACAGAGCTGTTCAGACCCCCAAGCCTGATTAGGCGAGGTGGGCTAGGTACTGTCTTGCTTTAAATCCCCTAGTGCACTATGTGATCACCCCACGCACTTCTGACTGAGGATTAGCGATGTGATGGCATGCCTTTTCCTTTCCTTTCCTTTCCTTCGGTTTTTGGTTATGTTTGTTTGTTTGTTTGTTTGTTTGTTTGTTTTGAGATAAGGTCTCACAATGTAGCCCTGGTTGGCCTGGAAATCATTATGAAGACCAGGATGACCTCAAACTCTTAAGAAATCTGCCTGCCTCTGCCTGATACCTGAGTACTACAATTAAAGGCATGTGCCACAACGCTTGGCAATATTTCATATCCACACTGTTATTTTAGACCACACAAAGCCACAATGCTTAAGTAAACAGGAGCTTCTAATACAGTATCAGGACATTAACAATAAAAAGTCCAACATATTTATTAACAAAAAATAAAAGGATAAATTTTAGGAATATGAAGAGTACACTGCAAATCTGCAACTAGATTACTGTTACCTGATGTTCTGCAGAACCAGAGCAATTAAACTAGTCTAGTCTCAAACACCCTCAACTTTGATAGTGATTCCAAGTCAAATAAGATATGTGGCTCTTTAATTTCCTCGTATTCTATTTCAGTTCTATTTATAAAATTTTCTTAGACAAATGTGTTCTGTATATGTGGACGTGAAGCTCTTATTACTTAGAACTAATAATCACTGTCCAGAAATGTGGGCCCACAAATGAGAAACTACATTTACTGTTCATTTTTTATTAGAATACATTGATTGTATAAAATAATGGGCTTCAACATGTCATTTCCAGACATCTATATAATGTGCTTTGCTGATATCTTCCCATTTAGTTAATTTTAATGTACAGAGATATGTGTGACCTGTATTGTCATAGTGCAGCTATATTTCCTTAATAATGTCACTAGTAATAATGGAGGAAAACTCTGCAAAAGTCAAATGCAAGCATTTTTTTGTATAACATATCCCAGAAGTATGGGATGCTTTTCTGTAAGTACCTACAAGCTTAACTACTGGTAAAGCTCGTAAGATTTCATAGGACCAAGGTTCTCGTCAACGTATAGTTGGACACTGATAAAAAGACTACACATAAAGTGCCCAGTATATGAACTAAGAGGACAAGCCATGCAGCAATTAAAACCAGTAACAACGATATCATTTAATTCTCTATTATCTGGCAATGAGGAGGCATTATCATCCTTGGCTCAACCTTGGGGCTCTCTTTTTCTTCATTTACTGATACCATTTCTTCCCATCCTCATCCTTGTGGTATTTTAAACAATATAATGAAAAAGTCGATGGGCACCAAGAGTTATCTGTTTAACCTGTCCATGCTCTTCCTGGAACTATGTATATGAATCAGAATGGCAGGATGCGGACAGGACTCTGAGGAAGGGCAGGCACAGTTAGAGGGGCCATAGCATTTCTAAGGAGATGTAAAAGGAGATCCAAGACTTCCATGTATCCTCCAGAATCAGGTTCTTAGGTATTTCAAGCAACACAACGCAATAGTGAGAGAACAGTGCTACGCCATGCCATCCTCTGGCTATTGACAGGAGGTGCTAACTAATATGACCTTGTTCTTTCTGGTTAAGGGACTGCTGGTGCCTCACTGCGCTCCTCATAAGGGCAAGTGCTAAAGCTTCGTGTTGCAATGATCCTTAGAGAGCCTTGTCTTAAAAGTTGTCCCTCAGCGTGGCATTACTGGAGGGTGATGGAACAATTAGTGGAGGCTAGTAGATCACAAGGGTGTGTTCTTAAAGGGGGAACCCAATCTCTTCCTCTCTCTCCTTCACTCCTCAGCTCCATCATACGATCCATGCCATGGGTGCTGTCCTTTCCACATGGTAACACACACCAGTAGTCCCTGCTACATAGGAAGCAGAGGCAGGAGGATTGCTTGAGCCCAAGAACCAAGGCCAGCCTAGGTAACACAATAACACAGTAAAACATCAACTTAAAAAAAATTCTACCAGGTTTAACAATTATGGATGATCCTATTTCTTTCTTTTTTTTTCCTTTAGCATATTAAAATATTTATTGTTAGTGGGTCTGCAGAAACAAACTAACCTTTTTTTTTAATTCTTTTTTTTTTAATATAATTTTTTATTGAAAAAAAAAAAGATTTCCGCCTCCTCCCCGCCTCCCATTTCCCTCCCTTCTTTCTTTTTTTTATGTATACAGTATTCTCAGTATTTTGTCTACATGTATGCCTACAGGCCATTAGAGGACACCAGACCCCATTACAGATGGTTGTGAGCCACCATGCAGTTGCTGGGAATTGAACTCAGGACCTTTGGAAGAACAGGCAGTGCTCTTAAGCACTGAGCCATCTCTCCAGCCCTGGATGATCCTATTTCAAGAGAGTATTACTAGGGGCTAGAGAGTTGGGTCAACAGTTGAGTGGACCTGTTGCTCTTTCAATTCTGAGCATCCACACAGTGTTCACAACCATCCGTAACTCCAGTCCCAAGGGATCTGATGCCACCTTCTGACATCAGCAGGCACTAAGCAAGCATGCAGTGCACATACATACACACAGGCAAAATACTCGCACAGAACAAAATGTAAACATAATTTTGAAAACTTAAAGAGAGTATCTACATGTGAATTTTCAGCTTCCAGCATATCTCAATTCAATTAGCCTCATATGTCTAGAATCTAGGCAGTACAACTTTACATATCTATTCCACACAGGCAGGCCACATTTCCTTGGAGTAGAAAGAGTTCAACTACTGATGCAATTAATTTGTAATTTAAAGTAAACAGTCTAAATGTTTCCTCAACTTTCTTCTTAGACACGTAGACATTCCTTATGTTCTTATGACATGCCAGATTCTTAAATTCTAAGTACCTTGTGTGGATATAAGTTGAAATGGTCAAACCAAGTTCCTTTACTAGAGTTTCATTAATTTTGAAGTTTTTATTTGTGTAATTATTACCACTAGAAGATGGAAAAGATTATGAAGTTATCAATTTTCAAAAGAAAGGTATGGATGTAGCATTCCTTTGGATCACAGAAGAATCTTAGAAGCCACCACAACTGAGGGAAAATAAATGGGCTCTGCAGTAAAATGAACACTACTCCCCAATAGTAAAATGTACACTGCTCACCAATAGTAAAATGTACACTGCTACCAATAGTAAAATGTACACTGCTACCAATAGTAAAATGTACACTGCTACCAATAGTAAAATGTACACTGCTCACCAATATTTTTCATTAGAGCAGAGTTTTAGGAGATCAGAGTAAAAATAGAAGCTGACAAAAAAACAAGACTACAGAGACAGCTGTCATGTGAGTTACCAAACTCAAAGCCCCACCATACAAAGTAGAGATCATATTTTGTAATGATAACATTCAATAGATCCAAAAACAGAATCTTTAGATTATAATTAATCTTATTTCTCCATTTCCACTGAATTCATTTGAAATTCTTGCTATTTTCACAATAAGAATCAAAGACCCTCTTCAAATTGTACTTGGTCCAGGAAGGGCCACAGCAGCCTTCAGAGAAAGGAGTTCTCCACTGCGGTGTTAGATGGCAGGAAACACTGGGGAGAACGGCCGTTAAAGGCTGGTACAGTGTTTCTGGAAAACAGTCTTATCTTTTGAAGGCAGAACCTCTCAGGCTCACATTTCAGTTTAACCTGGACACCAGTGCAGTGGGAAGGAGAGGGGTCGCCATACCTTACTGGTGACGCTATAACAACCTAAGGTCAGACTAGGTGACAAGAGCTTTGCAGCCTTGGCTATGAGGCACACCAAGATGTGAGACCGGATAAGCCAGCTCTAAAGGGTACTGGAGCCCTTCGATGTAAGATCACACTTACTGTCAAAACCAAAGTGACAGGTTTGGCTTGTCTGTTTAAGATTTATTTACTTTTCTGTATTTGAGTGTTGTGCCTGACCATAGAAGCCACATGTCTGTGGAGGTCAGAAGAGGTTGAATCCCTTGGAACTGGAGTTACATCTGTAAGCTATCATGTGAGTGCCAAAGACCAAATTGTAGTCCTCTGCAAGAGCATTAAGTGTTCTTAACCGATGAGACATTTCTCCAGCCCTGTGACACTTCATTTGAATTGTCAAACTGACACAATCTAGGAACACCTGGAAAGGGATCTGAAGAAGGTCTTAGGTTAGACTAGCCTGTGGGCATGTCTATGGACGGGCACATTGATTGTATTGATGGGTGGTGCCATTTCCTGGGCAGAGTCAGGTACAGAGAGAGCAAGCTGAGCATCAGAATATATGATGCACTAATTCACCACTCTCTACTTGTGATGATGTCATATGCCAGCTCCTTCTGGTTCCTTCCACCTTGACTCCCCACATGGTGGCCTGTAAACCCTGGGAATGTGGGTTTAAATAAACCCTGTCTTCAGCTGCTTTTGTCAGGGTATTTTCATCACAGCAACAGGAAAGGGATCTAACAGAGTTACCGAACACATTATAAACTGCAGCAAACAGCTAGATCAATAAAAGAAACGAATGTGACATTGGCAGCTAATGCAGATATAGTGCTGCTTCTGTATTTAATGTCCTGAAAGTTCCCTACGGACAGACAGCTGAGAAAAGGGGCCCACAGCCTCGGAGTCAACCTGCCCTTTAATCAGCCATTATGGAGAAGCTGAGCAACTGCAAAGGACTCAGGTCAACAGCTTCACTTAGTGTAAAAAATGAGGCACATTCCACAGGAAGTACTAAGAACTAAATTATGAAGGCACCAGGGCTTCAACTATTCTATTCCAAGAATGGGACTTGCTAAACTCAGGATGGAAACAACTCAACCACAGAAGAACCTGGAGTACAGCAGAGCAGAATATTTAAGGTAAACTACAACCATCTTC